TTGTCTCAAAAAGTTCATGGAAAAATGGAATTAAAGTACAAGTTTATTCTAGTACAAAGTTGTTTTTTTTTTTAAATCCATGCATAGTGTTTGCATAATATACATTTTCTGTGAACTTTCTCAAGACCCTTCTTCTGCTCTTTACTTACTTTACATTGTTTATTCTGCGGGGTCAGTAGGTTGCCTTGTGGTGAAGTCACTAGTCAATTCCACAGTCTGAGTCCTGGACCTGGCAGTTTGAAAACACACTGGACGCATGCGTGTGTATGCCCAAAATCCCAAGAGGAGAAGGGATTGTGATGTGCCCATCCCCCCAGGGGTGATGTCTCGATTTTCTTCTCTCTCCATCTCTTTCCAGCGAGCACACATACCTTATAACAGAGATCTAAATATTGTTTTAAAAATCAATTAATTAATAATCAAATAAAGTAATAATTCATCCTCTCTACCTTCGGGACATTTGTTCAGTCATTCCTTCTACAAATATTTACTGAGCACCCAGAGCAAAGAAAACTAGGAAAGCTTTTGAAAACCCAAACTCCTTGACATGTTATTTACGTGCCAATTTATAGGCCGGTGAAAGCTTTCGTGTTTATTCCTAGCAAATTAACGTGCACTAAAGTGCTTTGGAAGTAAAAGAACTACCAGCTTGAGTGGGGAAAGAGGAACTGCACTCAGCAGAGCTGGGGGGTAGGACCATCAGCACGCTCTCACCAGCCAAGCTCCCTTCCGGCTCATGTGTGTGCCACGTGGAGAGCCGTGGGGCAGGGGTGTCCGCATGCCTCAGTGCTGGCCTTATTAAATCGCCCTTCACTGAGCATCACATACTCAACAAGACACGGTCCTTGTCCGAGGGACCTTGAAGCCTATTGGGAGAGCCACGGGAATCATGGACGGTTTTAAATGCTGTGAGGAAGGCCTACCCAGAGGTCCTAGGATTCTGGGGCCTCCAGTGAGAGGCTGGTCACCACCGTGCCCAACAGGAAGAGGCTCCTCCTTTCTCATGGCGGGTCACTGGTGAGGCCATAGCCCGTGATGCCTCTCGGGAAGGTCGGAAGACACCTCGGGCAGCCGTGCGTGAGGGTTTTAATAGCTGAGGGGCTCAAAAAAGAGCGGAGGGCCTCAGTCAGCAGGAGGGAGCCAGTAATTATGCCCCGCCTATTTCCCCCTGATTCATTCTAGATTTAAGACTCTATTCCAGGTCTTCTCATTTGAATCTGCTCGCTCTCCTTCGAGACCCACCAACCTACTTCCCCTCAAGGGCATGGAAATCCCGGCAGACCTTCAGGGCAAAGGCCAGGCAGTCTGAGGCTGAGGGGTCTCATCTCTGGGAAGACAGGAGGGCCTGGGTGATTTATTGGGGATGAACTTGTTGTGTGACAGGAAATCCAGCATGCACTTCCCCAACAGGTGGTCCACACACACTTTCCACCAAATTAGCACCCAAGGGGGCAGCTTATCGTTGGCCCAGGCTCCACGGCACCACCTGTCTTTTCCCCTGCTTCTCCATCTCTGCACCTGCATGTTCCCAGGCCACGATGACTGAGGACCACGGAGGCACCAGACATCCTCCGGGCTCAGTCTGGTTGAGAATGGGTGTCTTTGAGGGGTAGCAAGCTTGGAAAGGTACACGGAGGAATCTCATAGAAAGAAAGAGACAGTGCTGAGAAGGCGTCTTTTCTTTCCACCGACCACTCCTATCTGCTTCACCCCCACCCCCACCAGCACATACGGGAACTCAGACTGACGGGAGGAGTGCCCTGGGTACACGGCGAGGAGGTGGAGCTAGCCCTGCAGAGAGCCCGGGTGTTGCTGCTGCACCGCTTGACCCCCTCTACTGTGGACTTGTGTATCCTTGCCTGGATCTTCCTGGGACTTAGTAGAGAGTGCCCGGAATAGCTTCAGGTCTACCCCACCCCGTGTGACAGAGACAGCTCACCTAGGCCCCTGAGCCTGGGGTTCATCATGGGGGAAGGGAGGGAACCACAACTGCTCTGAAACCTCTCGTGGTTCTGTTCACCTGGGAAGGCCAAGATCTCACGCTACGCGGCTGACTGAAGGGGAGGGAAGGGGCGCCGCAGGGGTCCTGCCGTGCACGCTCAGCTGGGTCTGCAGCCCTCCTCTCTGTAACTCGGGGTCCTGCTGTACACCCCTCAGCTGTGTCTGCACCCTCCTCTCTGTAACTTGGGGTCCTGCCGTGCACGCTCAGCTGGGTCTGCAGTACTCCTCTCTGTAACTCGGGGTCCTGCCATGCACCACTCAACTGGTGTCTGCACCCTCCTCTCTGTAACTCGGGGTCCTGCCGTGCACGCCCAGCCAGGTCTGCACTACTCCTCTCTGTAAATCTGGGTCCCGGCGTACACCGCTCATCTGGC